TGCATAGGAATTTTATACATGATTGAGAAGTGATTATTATAACGGTAACACCAAATCCACGCAGCTTTTTTTTTCACCGCGTAGGGAAAGTTTTGCCTTGTGATAAAGAATTAAACCAATAATACTAAAGAAAACGAAAGATAATAGACTTAATAAATATTAAAATTTATACATTGCGTTATATTTTAATAAAATTTGCTTACCTTATAATTCAAATTAATGTGTAAATATACTACAAACGGAAACATTAATTCTTAGATCATATACGAATATGAACTTCAAATATTCTTGCGGCAATCTGAAAATACAACCTTTCCATTCGCAGATGCCGGAAAACAAGTCAAGGAAATCGATCAAAAAGAACTTTCAGTAGTTTATCTGTTATTGGTTTCTCATGAACTTTTGAAGTAGTTGATTTCCGATACAAAGATTGAAGTTTTAGAAATTGAAAGTTTCAGCTTTGATTCGACAAAAGCTTTCAAGTTTAACAAGAGATAAGCTTCTGTTTTAAAGAAAATTCTATTAAATTTGTTTTTATAAATGAAAAATATAAGAATAAAATACGATGTACAGTTTGAATGAGATTTTTTTTACACAGCAAAATTAGTAAATCAAACTTTTTTAATTCTGATTTTTTTTTAATATTCATGTCTTTTTTAAAATATAATATTCATGTCTCTAAAAAATAACATTTTTCAAAAAAAAGCAGTTATCAATTACATTATTTTACTTCTAACGTAAATACAAAGCATATTAGTTGCAATCCATGAAAAAAAAATTAAGACAAAAATTGGTCTATTATACTTTTTTATTATTAAATTATTTTTGAATATATTTTAATTCAAAATGTTAGAGTATCAATTGAGCTCTTGATACTACTTTAGTTTACAGAATTAAAAAAAAAAACATACCTACAAAGAGTTTATGCGAAATATTCGATCAAAATAAATATTTGTCAAGGGCATAGAATTACTTTTTTGACGTCATTAAAGAGATTTATATCTGTTTTATTAAAAAGTCGCCTATAAATTTCCGATACAATTTTTTATTATTTTATAATTTTATTATTTTATAAGTTTTATTATCTTCTGATTTATTTAATTAAATAATTTTTACAATTCCTAGAATAGACACCGAATTGGTAATACTTTTTTTATTTTTCATTTATTAATAAAATCATTAAATGTTTTTGACAAAATATTTTGAAATGATTTTATACGTTGAGTTATCAATTTCTGATAAGTTTTTAATAAAGTAATGTTAAATTTATCTTTTTTTGTGTGTTTTATGCATTTATTAAACAATAAATTTTTGTAAAATAATTATTGATTAATCAAATCTCTGAAGCATTTATGTTTATTTAAAGTTTAATTTTTTTAATCTAATATTTCTTTATAATATTTTGATAGAATTGCTTATAACATTAAGATCTATGCAATTTGCATCATCCATTTTTAAAAAATAAGTTTAATTATGAGAATTTCAGCAAGCACAAAAATTACTCAATCAAACAATAAAAATGTAATGTAAACGCAAATTCAATAGAAAAGCACTCTTAAAATAATAAGATCTACACAAACAGCTGATAATTTCATAAAATGAAAACACTAAATTTATTTTGTTCACATTGTACACATCATGCATATAAAAATGGAATTATTTAGAAATACAAAGGTATATACTAAGATGTAGCATTAAAAAATATGGCATACAATAACTTTTTTATTGATTTTTTGAGTATCGGCTACATAAATCAAACTTCAACTAATTAAATAAGTGGATTGAGCAGAATGTACAATTATATATATATATATATAT